AGAGTTGCAGAAAGTGTAGCAAATCCCATGCCATAAGTCATTGCAAAGAAGGTGCTGAGATAGAGTGGCCCAATAGTGGAATAAGCATTCCGATCAAGATGAAAATTGGAATCAACGATACTTGAGATGTCATATATGGAGCCATTTCCGGTGAAAAGCTGATTAGAGAATATGGGGAAGTTTTTAGCGTTATAGACATTGAACCAGTAGGATAGGGGTGTCATGACATACATAACGAGAACGAAGCCCACAGCAACATTAGCAGTAGCGAACCAAGGGCTCACAAGTGGGCTGCCAAGGTAGGCAGAAATGGTAGACCAATCGACCCCAAAAGAGCCAATTCCTAGACCCTCTAAACCAGAACCTAATTGTTGGACGAGGACTGACTTGGGGGCAAGCCAACACACCCAAGAGAAGGAGGTCAGCATTGAGAAAAGATAGCCTGGAAGCAGATAGTAAGCGAAGCTAGAGATCATCACAATGAGGAAAAACTGAGTTCGGGTTGCACTGCCCCTGGGTCTTCCCCCGTCTCATGCAGAGCCCTGCATTTAATTTACATGCACATTACATCAGCTTGGTTCTAGTGTTGTGCATGCGCGACACACACACACACACACATAACGTAAAAAGAAACCTGAATAATGAGACTTGAACCAGATTAGATGGCCACCACATTTCCGCTGGCTCGACCAGAAATTTCCTGAACAGTCCTGCCCAGCCAAACCCTAGCACCTATAACACGAAAAGTCATTCTCTATGCGAGTGAAGACGATTTGATCCGCAAATACTGATTGCATGAGGAATACTGGATATGATAGAGTAGAAAAATAAAAAGAAAGGAATGAAGGAAAGAATGACAGCGAAAGATTAGCAACTAGTTCATCAACTCCATCATTTATTTTTTAATTTGAGAACGAGTTAGAATGGTACCTGAGTGGTGAGCATTACAAGCAAGGCCGGAAGAAAAGTAAGTTTCTTTTATAAAGAAGCTTGACAGCGGTTAAGATATGAGTAGCATAGACAGACCCAGCACCACAATTGGCAAAGATGGTGATGAGAACATGCTCCTTAATATTGAAAGGCCCTGGGTTCAAAGAGAACTCAAAACGTGTATCCTTGAACACCGAACGAGCAGGCAACGTTTTTGCCATCAGGTGGCCTATCGGAACGACGGCAATCTGAATACAACTGAACTCACACTCAAAGGTTGCTTTCTGTACCAGAAGAACTGGTTCACGAACGACAGCAATACACAAGAAACGATACCAAGCACCCACATTCTGAAAGTGAGAACAGGCATGGTCGGATCATCTGTTTTGGGCACTGTGAGTTCAACTTGTCTGATCGGACACTCGTCGGCAACCTCCTCCGGGCTCTTTTTCCGCTCACCATCCTCGACAGTTTTCGCCGTATCCATGGCTTCAACTCAGATCAGAGATGCTGCTCTGAAGCGCCAAGTATGATATATCGTAAACTAATAAATAGGAAGTTTTGTCAGGAGCTGTGAATGTGGCATGGCGAAATAAATAGAATGAACCCGGCCTACAAAGTTGCCAATATCATATTGCTTATACATCGGATAAGGTAGAAGTTCGTTGAATATCCCGCTTTTCCTTTTCAGTTACGATTGCATAAGATAACTGTAATCAATATCAATAATAATATATTTACCGGCTCTTTATTGTATCATTATTATTAGACAAATCTTTTGTATATCTAAAAGATTAACTATCGAATCAATTTTAATTTATTATTTACAGCTTGGATCTAGCTGTACATGCATTGTTTATTAAAAGCGTAATTCCATATAATTACATTTATAACGGTCGTAGCTTCCTAATAAAGTGATGAATTATAACTCCATTATTAATTATTTAATTATTTATTAGTATATAATGATAACACAGAATCGTTGGCCAAAAGAAAAAAAAAGAAAAAAGAAGATAACACGGAATCTGATGTGATGATATAATTACCATATATTTATTATTCACTTACTTTTTCCTTATGACACTCAAGGGCCTCTTTGAATTTTCTTTCAGAATTTTGTGCATTCAATCAAATCCCATGAATTATGAAAATAACATGTTATTTTATAAAAATAAAATTAATAAATTTTGTTATAATAGTGTTTTTTTTATATATACGAAGGAAAACAAGAGAAACTAGCTAAAAGAACTGGACTCTAAGATTAACTAGAGTGGCGGGACCAGAATTTGTTATAATGTGTTACGTGTTACCATTGTTCGATTTTGCTATCCCATTGAACTCTCTCGTGCAATTGCAAAGATATATTGCCCGTTAATAAATTAAATACCACTAAATTAATCTATCCCTATATAGTTTTGATTGCTTCATAACTCAATTCCTAAATTTTAATTTAATACATCTCAATTTTTAAAGTTTTCACTGGATTACAGTTTAGTCTATAAATTTTAACTCATTGCAACTCAGATGTGTATGTTTCGCATTATATTTGATAGTGATGCTGTTTATAATTAACTATACATGTTTTGTTTTAATATGGACATTATGTTTTATAGTAATACTACTTCCGGTCCTAATTATAAGACCCAATTGATTAATTTGAAGAGATTAAGGAAGTAAGTTGAGTTAGTTATTTGTCCTAAATAGGTATTGTCTTTCCTAAAATATCCTTGCTAATTAAATATATTGACTAGAACTATCATTATTAGAAAGGCTACTTTGAGAAAAAATATATAAATATGAGAGACAAAGTGAATTGGAATCTTATATTTAGAACCAAAATAAAATTCAAACAGGGCCTTATATTAAAAACCATAGGTAATAATGTTTTTTATTAGCTATACATGTTTTGTTTTTTGACATGCACTGCACATACGTTGATAGATGAATGATATTGATGAGTTGTGAATGAAATGACTTGTTATGAATTTTATAAAATGTTAACTTTTTTGTCAATATTATGTGTTCATTGATAATATTTCTTCCATACAAAATACAGCTAATTATTTCTTCATTTTAAGCAAGACTATATATACATATGATAAATTCACATTGTAATGCCTACCCTATATTCCACTGATTTCAGTTTTTGACCCTTTTTTTTTTAATTTGCACTTTCCACCTTAGTATCCACCAAATACAGTCAGCCCCCATATATTCCTTGATACCAACACAATTTACACAAAACACCATCAACATCAAGCATACAAGTCTTGCATTTCCATGGATAAAGTATTTTTCTGTAGGCATTTATAATATAGCTTTGACAGAAACAAGAACTAACTCGATCTGAATAAAGCGGTGAATCAGCGGTTGTTTCTTGGAAAATTTATGGGCTCGTTTATCGATAGAAACATAGGAACCAAAATGATCGTTTATACAAAATTCTGTTTGAAGACATATGTGGAGCATAAAAATGAAGCTCAAAAATCTAAGAAACTGCCTTCTGGGTACGAGCATATCCCAAACATCTCATTTATCCTATAGCCAAATATTACTACTGCATGTAAACATCTACGATATTCCGGACTTCAGTACAATTGGAATCCACAAGATAATACCAAAGTGGCCACAATATGACTATGGTCTAGTTTAGGATGACCCCCTGATTTATAGTGAATACCTTGAAAAGTTCTGGTCCGTCTGACCACGAGCAACAAAAGAACTCTGTATTAGAGGCAGTAGCTATACTTTGAAGCCAATGCCCATGGTCCGTCTGACCCCCTGATTTATAGTGAATACCTTGAAATTTGACCGACATGCCCATGGTTGCCACAAATGAAGAAAGAAGCCAATAGCTAAGCCACCAACACAGCGACTTCATGTGCTAGACTTTGAAGCAGAAGTTGTGAATCTACTTCCCACATGATGGCAAAACCAACTTATGTCACAGGAGGAATGTACTCATCAATGAAGCACATAATCAACTAAAGAGGTCAAGCCTAGATCTCCTTTCTCCAAATACAGCATTGTTTTTACCCATCCAAGCACATTACTTAAATAGAGCAGACAAAATCACCTGCAAACCCTGTTGTACGGATCAATGACTTGGCAATCTTCACCAACCTAAACCCAGATTAAAAAAACCTAAAATTCTCAATTCATAAAGTATTCTGCAAGGACGACCAAAATGGCCAGTAATTGTCTATAGTTAAGTGACAACAGGCGCAGAAGCTGCTTCAGACTTGAGGCTAATGTCAACGACTAAATAACTGAATGCATCAGTTGTAAAATGTTACATGCCAAAAATGGCTAATAATCACCCTTCAACATTTCTACCATTCTGGTCATAATGACAAAATAATGTCCTTAAATTAAATTAATAATCATAATTTCTCAATGTCAGTAAAGTCAAGGTCACCACTGTCGATGGGAACAAACCAGTTACTGCTGTAACACTGCAAGATCCATAAGTACAAGCCAAATATCTAAATCTATAACTTAAAAACACAAATTAAGAGGTCAAAAGTCAAATTACAATCTGAGGAAAATGTTCCCAAGAATGTCTGTAAACACTTCTTTAAAAAAATAGATCATAAAAGCATATATACAGACATTAAATATGAACTACGAATTATAACCTGACATTATTAAGCAGAAAAATAGATTGCATCCTGAATTCAAATCGACCCACGCTACCTTTACCCTATCATTCAAGCCTGAATGGCAGAGCTAGCTGTGAGAAGCATGCACATATTTTTCTCTCAGGGTATACGCAGAAGGAATATACTTGTTTGACACCCAGAGTACATACGCACAAGGAAAGATACGTAGAAGTTGAAAGTTTTTCGCTAGAGCATCTATATTGTTTATAATACATGTAAGCAATATACTTGTTAGCCGCAATTTGTTTGTCTTTTTAGGTATATAAACAATTAGTAGACATTATTTGATATTCTAGAAGGCTCAAAGGTAGAAGCATGAAAAGTATGCATCTAATTAACACCCAAAGTAAAAATCCACCTTCAATAACGAGAGAATCTAGGGAACACAGACAATCTGAGGTAATTTATTCTTAATAAGTTAGACAATTTCCTCAAACAAATGTACACTCAGCATAGGATAGGCGCAAGATTCAGCTTGTCTTAACGAATGCGGCTGTAATTCTTGAGATAAAAGAGGGGTCTCTAACATCTGATGAGCGAGTCCTACTAAGAATTGCCGCTCCATGATTCAGTACGATTTACCATTCATAAACGAAGCTTTGAGTCAGCACCAAACAACCGTCATTAATAGAAGTCCATGGAACGAAACAATAGAATTAATCAGCAGCCGACAAATAGTTCAACGCTTGCCACGGTGCCCGCCACCTGACCTTGCACCAGGATAGCGAGCAAACTGAAACCTTAAATTGACCGAGTTGCGGTCAAGCTCGTCAAATTTGTAACCTGCAAAATTAAGGCCCACTGTTTTACGCTGAACAACTAGCCACGTCAACGGCGAATTACGGGTGTCAGAAGACAGAATGCATTAGACGTGCGTTATCTTACCTCAGTCTAAGACATATTAATCCTGAAATACACTTGAAAAATGTTTAAACCCTATATCTAACATATGCGTAAATACGAGTTCCTCACTCATTACAAAAGGGGCTAAAAATTCACACGAGAAAAGAGGCAGAAGGAGAGCCACCTTAAATAGTTCCCCACAATTGGACTATCTCTACCTTTAGACACATTGAAACAAGCAAATTTCAGAACATGCAAATTTCGGCACAAGTGTATCCTCAAGCCTCAGGAAGACGCGACACTGAAACAAGAAACGATGTTTTAGTGGATATTATCCACACTCCCGTCTAATCAATAGTTGGCAGGATACGGAGAATCAGATCTGCCTTCTAAACTAGAGGTATCTATGGTTAAATGGGCTTCTATTTCAAGTAACAGTATATTTCCTTTTTCGTAATCCACACAAACAAGAGGTGTTGCACTAGGCCAAGAAGGTGAATGCTTCCATGATTTGGAAATATCTGCCCAGCTGGCATTTGGGGCTAAAAGCGATATGTGCGCGCAAATATATAACCCGAGAAATCAATGAAAATTGATGTCGGCTTTACCATTGGGAACAGAAATGTTAAGCGAATCACATTCATCATGTAAGCCATAAAGCAACCTTCCAAGCTTCAGTCCCACTTTCATCTCAGTCAAACCAACTCCCAATGGCCAAACAAAGTGAACAACAAAATGGAGAAGCAAAATAGCTCCAATCTAATTGAGGCACCTTAGAGTAATTCCTTTACTCAACTGCGCTGTCGCAAGAAGCAATCACATCCTAGACCCAATCCATCCCATGAAATGATCGATAGATGCTCGTCTCTACTACCATAAAACCAAATGTGCATACATCATTCCAACCAGTCTCATACTCTTGGCAATCAAAAGAGGAAAGGTAGTATAAAGAAGTTCCATATGTAAATCATTCCTTTGCACTCTTATTTTGGTGATATCCCCCAAAAAAGAACAACAACAACAACAACTACTACTACTACTACAGATGAGTGCTATTTCTTTATCATCAGCGCAATAAGGAAAAATGCAAGACATTGGACTGGCAGATGCTCATTGGTGTCATTTCTAGAATCATGGAAAAACAGATCTTACCCTGCAGGGCATCCATAGCAGTTGCTGCATGGGCGGGACTCACAAAATCAACAAAACAAAGTACCAGTGGATCACCCCCAGGCTGCATGTGATCCCATTCAAAAGTCAATCAAATGCAATAGATATATATTTTCTATTTAACAATTAAACTTACTTGTCTTGATTCCTTGCTAACAAGTCTAACTTCTTTGTAGCCAACAAAAGGACGAAAAATGTCTATACATATAAGTTAAGAAGCCAGAAAGAGTATTTAACACCATCATTTTAACATCACTCGTTACACCTACTTCTTTACAAATGATTCCATATTCGGTATTAGACAATATGGGTAAATTTTTGTAATAGGCATTGCACATGAGAGGAACAAAAGTGGTGCAAAGTCGGCAGTGCAAATATGCAATTAAAAAGAATCAACATAAGAGGAATCACATAAAAGGATACGAGCTACTTCTCGTCTTGTGCAGTTGGAAGGTAAGCCCTCCACATACAGTGTATTGGTAGCATCAGGTGGAAGCAGACGCTCGGCCCTTCCAGTGCTTATTCCCAGGGTTTTGTCTTTTGCAGTTGTTGTTGGGTCTACTCCCCCAATACTATGGGCATATGAATCATCAACAGGACGATTGGAAACCACCCCGCCAATGGTTCTGGGAGGCTGCCCAGCACCATAAGAGGAAACTTGCTGAAACATGTACACAATGTTAGACATAAACCTCATAGGCCCCTTTGGTATACCAGACTTCCCCTGAGATTAAACATGCCTGGGCAAGGTTTAATGCTGTATTCTTGTGATTATTACACAATAATTAGAACAGGATAAAAATTGTTGAAGAATTTCTATGAGAAAAATTCCTTCAATTATTTACCCCCCACCTTCTCCAGATCTCCCCATCAGGCATTCAGATCTAAAATATTCTTCGATGGGGGATTATTTTTTGGAGAAATCGCAAAGAAAGACCCTGTAATTTGAAAAACACAGATAGAGACCCGTGACAACTTCACTATGAGTTTTGTTATTATTGTTAAAAGCCATAGTGAAGTTGTCACGGGTCTCTATCTGTGTTTTTCAAATTCCAGGGTCTTTAATTGCGATTTTCCCTTCTTTTTTTTATCCAGCAGTTAAAAGTTAAAAAACAAGAATATTAAATTGAACAGATTTATATTGCTTCCATATGCATCAACACAAAACAGAATTAATACATCCTATGTGCCTAAAAGTTAACGTGCTTGGTGCCCCAAAAAAAAAAAAAAAAAGGCTAACATGCCAGTCAGGGGCACGAGAGATCAAGACATATATTCTCAACCGCGTAGGAACGATCATTGGTAGGGACAAACAGTACCGCGCTATGAAGATAACGCTCATAGGATGCTTCAAGGGATTCTGTATCTCTAATTACTTGGAGCCGGCCTCTATCATCATCACGGGGAAAGTAATTGGCCATGTCATGAACACCAGAGACATCTTCAAAGGCAAGCAATATTTTTAATTAACAATCAGACGGAGACCAGAAAAAGAGAGAAAACAATCATTTGCATTGTGACTGGTGACATGAGAAAAGTTTCATTTACTAAGATAAAAATAGGATAATATAAATTTCAAACATCTGTTGAAGATTATGAATCTGGGTGAAAACAATCTAACGCAGACTTAGAACTTCCCAAAACAGTAAGACCAATCTGACAATTTAATCATTAACAGCCTCTTTTCCCCTAGAGTTCCCAAGCAAATAACCATAACTTGAGCAGAACCAAGAAGAACAACGGACATTGAATGGGGATTTTTTTTTTTTTCTGGGACTTCTCAATGTTTAGAATCATTTAAACAGACACTAGGTCTATTAGACCATCAGATCGCCCTCCATTGGAATTTCAATTGGATCTCAAACCAAGCTATCCATTTCCAACTTTGCCATGTCTCCTTACATACATGATCCCGCGAAATTAGGCAATATCTCCATTCTTCATTTTTTATTCAGTCGTAAACCTTGTAGCTCGTCTACGCCTATATCATCGAACCCCCCCCCCCCCAAAAAAAAAAAACCCAAAACTATGAATTAGGGGGAAAACAATTATTCTTCGAAAACCGAATAGCATTAGCAAAACAATGCGTTCTACTTCTGACATGGCCTATCAGCAACTGGTAAAAACTCAAATTTTAGCCATTTCAGCGACTAATCGAAAGGCAATTCAATTAAAATAATGCACAGCATCTAAAAACCCTATATTCCATCATGAGGCAAGCAATTCCCATACCATAGTCCGTGCGCGAGCGCTTTCCGGCGATCGAAGGCATCGACGACGGCATCTGCCGTGAGTCGCTGTATCTCCAGTAAGCATCAGACATGAGGATTGTTACAGTCGGTCGGACGGACAGACAACAAGCTCCTGAAGAGAGAAGGAGATTGATGATGCGTTTACCGCCGTGTTTGAGTCTTCGGCTGGCACTTGTCAACATTTAAAAAAACACTCATTGCAAAAAAATATCGTTGGCCGAAAGCAAAAAGAAAACATTTTTCGTTCTTACAATTACAAATGCAAACAATTAGTTGAAGGCACACAAAAAATACAAATAGTCAGTTTGATACTTGGTTTTTTGTTTATTTCAAATTTGTGTTTATAAAATTGAGAAAAATTTGGAAAAAAACTCATTTTGAAAACTTAATGAACTAAAATGACCTAAATTTAAACGTATACAACTATGATCTATGAGTGTAATTTTTTTTGGTTGTACGTAACATATCTTTTGTTGTATGTAAATGACTTTCGTATTTGTAATTGTCGCACATCATTGATAATATATTGCACACAACAAAAGAAAAGTTATACTCAGAAATTATAATTGCACTCATTTAAATTTATATCTTTTTAGTTAATTAAGTTTTTTAACAGAGACTATTATCCAGATTTCCCCAACAAGGATGAAAAACACATGGAGGCTCTGCGGGCTGAATTTCTACCATGTTTAGAGACCGTAACACATGCATTAACTATATTTTCTTCGCTTGCATGTCATAAAAAGTAAACATTATCCACGAGGCTCGGCCCGAGAAAACTATAGAGCGGAACGGCATCTTGATCTAAATAGAACTTTATGCGCGAAAATTCAGAAATCAAATTCAAACGATTAAAAAACGAAGAGAAAAGAGATGATGAAAATAACATCACACTGTTTAGTGGTTGGCGTGCAGTAATATTTGTATGCACTTTTATAAATTTATAGATGGAACATCATGCTTTGTATTTTGTGTAGTATGACATCTACTGCCTCTTATCCTTAATATAAAAAGTACCACTTCTGATTTTTAATATAATAACTAGTTGAATAATTTGATTAGATTAAAAAAGTTTGTTAAGTTAATTATTTGCAAGGTATGAAAAATTAGACTGGTTAGTGAACCGATCAAAATAGTGGGTTAAGGGTTAGTAGGTCGGATCAGAATTAACCCGGAGTCAAACCGGTAATCATTAAAATAATGTGATTAAATTAAAATGTGTAAAAAATATTTACTAATAAAACTATAATTTTAAATTATTTTATTATTAGTATATAAAATGTATTTTCCTTGTTATTTCTCTCTCATTCACCTGCTCTTCCTTATCCGTTGTCAAATTTTCTTTCTTCCTAGTGTCATTTCATCACTTCACTTACATTCTATTGTCAAATCATCGTTCTTCTAGCTTCTAAGTCACCATTTCTTTACGTTGGGAGTTAAACGCAAACCTCTCACACAAAAGAAGATCTGCGTCTAGCCATGGAGGTCACCTCTTCCATTCACTGATCAGCGCTAACTTTTCAGTCTTCACTTCCATCATTAGAATCCACTATGGTAATGCCACAGCTTGTGCCATTCTTTTCAAATGTAAACGCATTCACTCTTGCCACTTGCTCTTTGCCTCTTTCTTTCGTATTCTTCCTCTCACTCTTCTTTCTCTCATTGTTTGCAACACCCTCCATTCTTTTCGGTGAGCAAAAAAGTTAACCCGAGCAACCCGCCTAACTTAGCGGGTTAGCCGAGTTATTACCGAGTCATTCCGGTTTATGCCGGGTTAACATCCTTATTTTTATCTAGTATTTAATTAAATTTATAAATAAATATATTTTAGTATTAAGTAAAAAAAAAAAAAAGAAGAAGAAGTTAGATATAGGCAAATTATTATTATTATTATTTTAATAATGTTTTTGTATGTGATTGTGTGTATGTGTGGATGATATTCTAGAAAATTAAACCATAGTATAGAAGTCCCACATCGACTAATCTTTAGAGTGAAGGAGTTTGAGGAGCCTATATATAGGAGCTAGTGAGTGGAGCTTGGAGTAAGTAAATAATTTTCGCACATATCTGAGGTAGTCTCAGAAAAGTGCTAGTTTTAATTTTATTAACCGTTGGATCGGACTGAAATTTGGTCGGTCCATTTGGGACATCCAAATCGTTAATTTCAACGGTCGGATCACCCTTTTGATCTCCGAGTTACAAGTTATTAGGTACGTTTTTAACTTATATCTTTTGGATTTAGCAGATAGAGTCCTGAATAGTAAATTAGCATTTTAAAGTTTATTCACCGTTAGATTGAGCTATAATTTGGAGGATAGTATCATGATGGATAGGAAATTGAATTCAACGGTTAGATTATGGGTTTAACTTCTGTAGTGAGAATAACTTGGGTCGTACTAAGTCTATTTGTCTAAGTCTTTCGAAGATGGAATATAAGTTATAAATTTATAGTTTGTCTATTTCCATTATGAATTTGATGATTCTAATAAAATAATATAATAATTAAAGGATATTTAAGTAAGGAAATTTAGGAATCGAGTCTAAATCACATATATATATGTTCTTATTCCAAACCTTAGAGAAATGTCTTTTAGGCTAGAGTTCTGAGTAAAATTAAAGCTTTTAGAGAAGGAGTTAGAGGCTAGAATTTTGTGAGTAGCCTACTCTAATACTATAGAGATAATATTTTAATTTTGTTTGTAGATATAAACTCTATTGTGGCATTTTCGAGGTTGGACTCTGGTTGTAGTTGATTGATAGCTAGGAGACCAGGTAACTAAATTTCTATCTGTTGCATGCTCTAGTATGAAGTTGGTGAGCGGCTTTATAACTAATTCTATAAAAGTATATTACGTTTTATATGAACTGTCTTGTGGGATGCTATTTTAAAAAGGATTGACATAGTTTGTATTGCAAGAAATTGGTGATCATGATTATGATGTGCTATTATGAAATTCTGTTGATTATGCATATAAATGTGTCATTTGAACCCTGTGCATCTATTTTGGGTGGGGAAAGGAGATAATTGGAGTTATTGAGATTCATATACTTGCCACGTGGTATTAGCCTCCATACGGAGCTCTATGGTTGGCTGCTATTATTGTCCCACTAGTTCTTCGAGGGACTGCGACACCCCACTAGTTCTTCGAGGGGGGACCCATGGTCCACCGAGTGCTCTGTGGTCTTTGGCCGGTCCACATCATTCGTGTGGTGAGCTTGTTAGAGTTGCCAGTCAAATGGAAAGAACTTAGCCCATGGGTCCAGTCGGCGGAAATAAGGAGGATATAAGGATGGTTTGGGTTCAGGAATTGCATATGACATGAGATATTCATTGATATTTATATCTTTTAAATAAATGACAAGTATGTTATTTCTTTTGAAATGTATCCATTGCATGAGACTGGTGGAAATATTTGTCTTGTATGATTATTGTGAGTTTAAATGTTAAATAAATGTTTATCAACTATTATTAACTCTGTGTATCCCACCTGACACCTCGCTAGCCCATGCTAGGGTGTGGGATAGGTAGGGATTTAGTTACTGAGACGTTGTCTCACTCCTGTTGCTTTACCATTTTCAGGAAACAATACGTTAGCGGGACCTTCGGGGAAGACTCCTGAGGCTCAATAACTGTAGCTGGCAGTGTAGAGCTTCTGGACCTTATTTTATGTAATCTTTTCGTATATTGCCACGCATCAGGACTGCATTTATTTGGAACTTATTTTACCTTCTTATATTTTTATGTCGTTTGACTAAATAAACGTATTATACTTTCTATCTTTGGTTTATTTTGTTTGGACATTGGAATAGGGTGCTGGTAGTGGGCTTGAGACCCTTAGATTGCATGTGATTGAATTATTGTGGATCCACGATGTGATAATGGCAATTTTGGCAAGTTTAGTTGTTGCTAGTGTTGACTAAGATAGTCAAGTCTAAACTGCTATTATAATTTATCATTCAAAGGCATATTGTTTTATAACCATGTTTGCCATGATTACAACTATAGGTTATTCTTTTTCTAACCATGATAGTCTTAATTAAGGTCGAATGTTTTTCTATCATGGTTAGCCCTTTAATGATGTGATTGCTCTTAAATAACCATGATAGGGTATGTTTACTAGTTTTAATCTTTTCTATCATGGTTAGTTCTGGTTAGTAAGTGGTGATGTTACATTTTGGTATCAGAGCCATTGGTTTTTCCTTTTTGTGATTTTGAATTGCTTCCTGCATGCATATAGTGGCAATATACGTAGTTACATAAACTTCCCTGAAATGTCTTTAGTTTTCTTGTGTTTTCTTTCGTTTGGTTGTATTCATGGGTTCCATCCTTAGGTGGGGAGAATGGCAAGACCACGAAGGACTGAACCCATAGTAGAGGAGGCTTCTTCTTCTCCGGAACAACTTCTTAATCAACCTAATGATCAACTACCCGAGCAACCTCAACAGCAGAATAACGAGGTTCTACTGACGCAATTACGACAAGTAGTGGCTGAAGTCGTGGAAGAAAGGCTTAAGAAGTTGGAGGAGGATATGATGGGAAAAAGAAATTCAGAGATCAGACCAGAGGAAAACCCAGTTGAGAGTAAGAGTGTGGGTGACTTGCAGTCTAGAGAGCGAGGTGCTCCAAGTACTGAGAGCGGGAAAGAAACGGTCCAACAAACCCCGCTAGTGGATGTTTCAATGAAAACAGTATGGAAAGATGTGAGCCGTCATAATCCCCCGAGATTTAAGGGTGACATGAATCCAGTTGAGGCTGAAGGTTGGATTGATAAACTGGAGACCATTTTCAGAGCTGCCCCTTGCATTACTCAGCATAAAGTGCAAGTAGCTATTGTGCTGTTAGAGGGACGAGCTAAGCGCTGGTGGGAAAGTGTGAGCCCAGCTGATGACTCACAAGTTACTTGGAATGAATTCAAGAGGATGTTCTTCGATCACTATTTCCCACCTGCCCTACGTCAAGACAAGGAATCAGAGTTCTTTGCCTTGCAACAAAACAATATGCATGAAGATGACTTCATTGCTAAGTTTATAGACTTGTCCAAGTATGTGACATTGTTGCGGAGGGATGAGGACTCAGGGTGGATGGCTAGGCAATTACGAGAAAGAGCTAGACCAGACTTGAAGCAACAACTGGCCCTGGTTCCAGTGACTGATTTTGGAGATATGTGTACCAACCTTCGAGTTGCAGCTAGGCGGACTCGTGAGGCTGAGGAAGCTCGTAGAAGGGATTCTCAAGGGCGGTTTTCCTCATACCTTGGACCAAGTGGAGGGATTAGTAAGAGAAATAATACGGCATAGGAAGTGTAGGTCCATATGGAAAGAATCGAAGTTTAAGCCACAAGAAGTCTGTACAGAAGGGCTTAGCCCAGAAGAGCACAATCTCAAGATCTCAGTCTAATAGAAACCCGATCACTCATCATGAATCAGTGATGTCAACCCCTACTATCCATGGACCTTGCTTACAGTGTGGAAGGAACCATCCTGGAAAATGTTGGGAATGCTACAAGTGTCACAAGATGGGGCACATTGCTCGTTATTGTCCTGAGAATCAGCATAACATTCAGAACTCCAGGGATACTCGATCAATAATGCCAGGCCGTGTCTTTGCTATTACTCAAGAAGAAGTAGGTGCTGCCCCTAACGCCATCAAAGGTATGATATCCCTTCAGGGACATAAGGTTGAAGCACTCTTTGATTCTGGTGCTACCCATTCCTTTGTTTCTCATAAATATGTCTTGCATTCTAATTTGCACATCTCTGAGATGCCTGTTATTTTGAGTGTGTCTACTCCTGCGGGTTTGTCTGTTAGAACTACTCAAGCTTGTTTAAACCTTACATTAGACTTTAAAGGCCGTAGAACAACAATAGATCTAATTTGTTTGCCATTACAAGGAATGGATGTAATTATTGGGATGGATTGGTTATCACGTAATAATGCCGTGCTAGATTGTAGAAAAAGAGTAGTTGTCTTCCCTGAAGATGTGGTGCCTACAGAACCATCTAGTGGGACAATATTCTTATCCACCGCGCAAGTAGATGAATGCATACGAAAAGGATGTCAAGCTATGCGGTGTTCTTCTCAATACAAGTGGATACCGAGGAAGGAATCGATCATATTGACGTGGTTAGGGAATTTCCTGAAGTCTTCCCTAAGGAAATGACCGGGTTACCTCCTGAACGAGAAGTTGAGTTTACAATTGATTTAATACCAAGCACGACACCTATATCCAAGACTCCTTACCGAATGTCTCCATCTGAGTTGAATGAATTAAAAAGACAGATAGAGGAACTTCTCGAGAAAGGGTTCATTAGACCCAGCGTATCCCCATGGGGATCTCCAGTGTTGTTTGTTAAGAAGAAAGATGGAAGCATGCGTTTGTGCATCGACTATCGACAATTGAACAAGGTAACAATCAAGAACAAGTACCCCTTGCCTAGAATAGATGATCTATTAGATCAGCTAGTGGGATCTTCAGTCTTTTCTAAGATTGATTTGCGGTCAGGCTACCATCAACTTAGAGTTAAAGCAGCAGATATCTCTAAGACTGCTTTTCGTACAAGATATGGACATTATGAGTTTCTGGTGATGCCATTTGGGTTGACTAATGCCCCAGCAGTGTTTATGGACTACATGAATCGAATTTTTAGACCTTATCTGGACCAGTTCATAGTTGTATTTATTGATGACATCTTAATCTATTCAAAAAGTGAAGCAGAACATCGAGAACACCTAAGAGTTGCACTACAAGTGTTGAAAGATCACAAGCTTTATGCAAAGTTAAGCAAGTGTGAGTTTTGGTTGAAGGAAGTAAACTTTCTAGGCCATGTGGTTTCAGCAGAGGGGGTGGCAGTAGACCCGAGTAAAGTAGACGCTGTGCTGAAATGGGAGTCACCCAAGTCAGTTACAGAGATTAGAAGCTTTGTGGGATTAGCAGGATACTATCGTAGGTTTATCAAAGGATTCTCTCAGATCGCCATGCCATTAACAAAACTGACAAAGAAAGATCAACCATTCATCTGGACTGATAAGTGTGAAGCTGCATTCCAAGAGTTGAAAACCCGATTAACAACCGCACCTGTACTTACCATCCCTGACCCGAATCGACCATATACCCTATATACTGATGCCTCATTGAAAGGTTTAGGTGCCGTATTAATGCAAGATAGGAAGGCGGTAGCATATGCTTCACGGCAGCTAAGACCCCATGAGGAGAATTATCCAACTCATGATTTAGAACTGGCAGCAGTGGTATTTGCCCTTAAGATTTGGAGACACTATCTTTATGGTTCAAAGTTTGAAGTACTTAGTGACCATAAAAGCCTAAAGTATTTGATGGATCAGAAGGAATTAAACAACCGGCAGCGAAGGTGGCTAGAATTCCTAAAAGATTATGATTTTGAGCTGAGATATCACCCAGGGAAGGCAAACGTGGTCGCAGATGCCCTAAGCCGAAAAACGGTTCACGTACTCTGTATGAATCTGAGAGAGTACTACTTACTAGAGAGCTTGAGGGATAGCAGGGTTTTTCCCAGCTCACCTACCTTATTACAGTCGGATGTTAAGGTGATTGATTTAAGGAAGGAACTTATGGCTTCTCAATTGCAAGATGAGCACCTAAGGAGAATTAAGAAAGAGCTACAGAAAGGAGAGGTAAAGGATTATAGCCTTGGGGAGGATGGTATTTTAAGATACCAAGGGAAGGTGTGCATTCCAGGTAATGAAGAAATTAAGAGGCTGGTACTAGAGGAAGCCCATCGAAGTAAATATACCATGCATCCAGGAGCCACCAAGATGTATCATGACTTGAGACAACAATATTGGTGGCCAGGGATGAAGCGAGATGTGACGGAGTATGTACAGAAGTGTCTCACTTGTCAGAGAGTAAAGATCGAACATTTAAAACCCCCAGGTTTGTTGCAAAATCTAGATATACCCAAATGGAAATGGGAGAGTATCTCTATGGACTTCATTACGGGATTACCAAGAACGCCGGCAGGTTTTGATGCCATATGGGTTATTGTGGATCGGTTAACAAAGTCCGCCCACTTTTTACCCATTAAAATGAACTACTCGATGGAAAAGCTAGCACAGATGTACGTCTCAGAAATAATTAGACTTCATGGAACCCCGGTAAGTATAGTCTCAGATCGCGATCCCCGGTTCACATCAGGATTTTGGAAATCGTTACAAGAGGCAATGGGATCCAAATTGTGTTTTAGTACAGCTTACCACCCGCAGACTGATGGACAAACCGAAAGAACCATACAAACATTGGAAGATATGCTTCGAGCATGTGTTATTGAGTTTAGAGGGAGTTGGGATAGCCACTTATCATTAGCAGAGTTTGCTTATAACAATAGTTACCATTCTAGCATACAAATGGCACCATTTGAAGCATTATATGGCAGAAAGTGCAGATCGCCATTGTGTTGGACAGAGTTGAGTGAAAGGACTATTATTGGCCCTGAGTATGTGGATGAGACCACCAAGAAGATTGAGGTAATCAAACAAAAGTTGCTAACTGCACAAAGTAGACAAAAAAGCTACGCCGATCAAAGACGAAGGCCGCTAGAGTTTGAGGTAGGGGATCATGTGTTCCTGAAGGTATCTCCTACTACCGGTATTGGTAGATCCATTAAAGCTAAAAAGTTGACACCCAGATACATCGGACCGTACGAAATCCTAGAAAGAATTGGGTCAGTAGCCTACCGCATTGCACTACCTCCACACTTGTCAAAGGTACATGATGTATTCCATGTTTCCCAATTGAAGAAATACCAGCCGGACCCATCACATGTTATAGAATTAGAAGAGGTAGAACTACGAGAAGACTTGACTTACAAAGCAGAACCAGAGAGAATCCTTGATGTCAAGGATAAGGAATTGCGGAATAAGACTATTAGACTCCTCAAAGTCTTCTGGAAGGGCATGTCACATGGGGATACTACTTGGGAAACTGAGGAGAGAATGCGTCGTGACTATCCTCATCTATTCGATAAAGGTATGAACACGTCGTCCTTTATTGAATTTTGAGGACAAAATTTCTTTAGGTGGGGAGAACTGTAACATCCTTATTTTTATCTAGTATTTAATTAAATTTATAAATAAATATATTTTAGTATTAAGTAAAAAAAAAAAAAAAAGAAGAAGTTAGATATAGGCAAATTATTATTATTATTATTTTAATAATGTTTTTGTATGTGATTGTGTGTATGTGTGGATGATATTCTAGAAAATTAAACCATAGTATAGAAGTCCCACATCGACTAATCTTTAGAGTGAAGGAGTTTGAGGAGCCTATATATAGGAGCTAGTGAGTGGAGCTTGGAGTAAGTAAATAATTTTCGCACATATCTGAGGTAGTCTCAGAAAAGTGCTAGTTTTGATTTTATTAACCGTTGGATCGGACTGAAATTTGGTCGGTCCATTTGGGACATCCAAATCGTTAATTTCAACGGTCGGATCACCCTTTTGATCTCCGAGTTACAAGTTATTAGGTACGTTTTTAACTTATATCTTTTGGATTTAGCAGATAGAGTCCTGAATAGTAAATTAGCATTTTAAAGTTTATTCACCGTTAGATTGAGCTATAATTTGGAGGATAGTATCATGATGGATAGGAAATTGAATTCAACGGTTAGATTATGGGTTTAACTTCTGTAGTGAGAATAACTTGGGTCGTACTAAGTCTATTTGTCTAAGTCTTTCGAAGATGGAATATAAGTTATAAATTTATAGTTTGTCTATTTCCATTATGAATTTGATGATTCTAATAAAATAATATAATAATTAAAGGATATTTAAGTAAGGAAATTTAGGAATCGAGTCTAAATCACATATATATATGTTCTTATTCCAAACCTTAGAGAAATGTCTTTTAGGCTAGAGTTCTGAGTAAAATTAAAGCTTTTAGAGAAGGAGTTAGAGGCTAGAATTTTGTGAGTAGCCTACTCTAATACTATAGAGATAATATTTTAATTTTGTTTGTAGATATAAACTCTATTGTGGCATTTTCGAGGTTGGACTCTGGTTGTAGTTGATTGATAGCTAGGAGACCAGGTAACTAAATTTCTATCTGTTGCATGCTCTAGTATGAAGTTGGTGAGCGGCTTGATAACTAATTCTATAAAAGTATATTACGTTTTATATGAACTGTCTTGTGGGATGCTATTTTAAAAAGGATTGACATAGTTTGTATTGCAAGAAATTGGTGATCATGATTATGATGTGCTATTATGAAATTCTGTTGATTATGCATATAAATGTGTCATGTTGAACCCTGTGCATCTATTTTGGGTGGGGAAAGGAGATAATTGGAGTTATTGAGATTCATATACTTGCCACGTGGTATTAGCCTCCATACGGAGCTCTATGGTTGGCTGCTATTATTGTCCCACTAGTTCTTCGAGGGACTGCGACACCCCACTAGTTCTTCGAGGGGGGGACCCATGGTCCACCGAGTGCTCTGTGGTCTTTGGCCGGTCCACATCATTCGTGTGGTGAGCTTGTTAGAGTTGCCAGTTAAATGGAAAGAACTTAGCCCATGGGTCCAGTCGGCGGAAATAAGGAGGATATAAGGATGAGTTTGGGTTCAGGAATTGCATATGACATGAGATATTCATTGATATTTATATCTTTTAAATAAATGACAAGTATGTTATTTCTTTTGAAATGTATCCATTGCATGAGACTGGTGGAAATATTTGTCTTGTATGATTATTGTGAGTTTAAATGTTAAATAAATGTTTATCAACTATTATTAACTCTGTGTATCCCACCTGACACCTCGCTAGCCCATGCTAGGGTGTGGGATAGGTAGGGATTTAGTTACTGAGACGTTGTCTCACTCCTGTTGCTTTACCATTTTCAGGAAACAATACGTTAGCGGGACCTTCGGGGAAGACTCCTGAGGCTCAATAACTGTAGCTGGCAGTGTAGAGCTTCTGGACCTTATTTTATGTAATCTTTTCGTATATTGCCACGCATCAGGACTGCATTTATTTGGAACTTATTTTACCTTCTTATATTTTTATGTCGTTTGACTAAATAAACGTATTATATTTTCTATCTTTGGTTTATTTTGTTTGGACATTGGAATAGGGTGCTGGTAGTGGGCTTGAGACCCTTAGATTGCATGTGATTGAATTATTGTGGATCCAC